AAAAAAAAAAAAAAAAAAAAAAAAAAAAAAAAAAAAAAAAAAAAAAAAAAAAAAAAAAAAAAAAAAAAAAAAAAAAAAAAAAAAAAAAAAAAGCAGCTACCAAAGCCCACAGACCCTCACCCTGCCAAAAAAAGCCCCACAACAAGACACAACTCCCCCCCAAAAAAACAAACACCTTAATTTTATCTAAACTTAAAAGAAATTCAATGATTTGAGGTTTCAGGTGAAGTTTACATAGCTCTTCCTTTTGTTTTTGCCCTAAATACCTTAAATTCTGTGTCATGTGTATTTCAACAACTTCTGCCTACTAATTTAATCATAATTTTGCTCAGTGCAGAAAGAAATCCTACAACTGAAATAGGAAAGTTTTTAAAAATACAAGGGCTTCAAAAGATCAAATTAGAAAGTAGGAGCTGTAAAACATAGAGTGACTAAAAGGCATCCTCTGCAATAATGTAACATAATCAGATTATTTTTTCCACTAAGTAGTAAGTAGAAGCCTTTCAACAACTACATTAGACCCACAATGAGATCTCTATGAAAAAAAAGAAAAATGCAGCCACTGGTCTCCTTAGGAACAGTACGTAATAAAAGAATATGACCCACCAGATTTTGACTGTAGCACTTTTTTTTTTTTTTTTTTTTTTTTTTAAATGTGTGTATTCGGTTTCATCTGCTTGTTGCTGGTGTTATTTCTTCTTTATTTTAGAGTTATTTGAAGTGTTTTTGGAAACCTGAGGTAAATCTTAGTAATTAGGAAGTACACCTAAAAGAAGTATATTTTGGTATTTTGCTTTCTTGAAAGAAAAAAATGAGTCAAAGCAAAAAAAGATACAATTGTTAGTATTGTCATTTTTTCTAATATTTTTGGAAACTAATTCCATTGAAAGGTTTCCTCCCACTGTATGATAATGTGCCATGGTTACAGTATACAGCCACTGCAATGTGTTTATTAAAAAAAAAAAAAATCAGGCTTGCCATCACTGGTCAACCCTGGATAGAATTTTGAAAAAAAAACCACCTGATATTCATAGCTTTTTGTTACAGTAAAAATGAACATTCTCCCTGCTGCAGAAAAATTTGAATGTATCACATAATGAAAACTTATACATGTTTAGTAGAAATCTACAAACTGCAAAACGTTTACCTTCTTTTGCAGTCTCTGTTTGTGATTTCTAATTGTGCTTTCTGGAGTATTTGTCCATGGTATGATTTATTGTCTTCAAAACAAGTCTGAAAATGCCTGGCTGATTTCAAAGCAGGTTATTCTCTGTTTTATTTCCATACAAAAAAATCAGCCTATCCTTTGGGGCTTGAAAATTATTTTATGGTTTTATCATTTTAAAGGAAAAAATAAGTGTTGTGACCTTTCCAATTGATTAATATTACAGAATAGAGAAAGAGTAAGTTAATTAGAAATAAAATAACATCATATTCTGTAGAAAAAGCGTATCATTAACTTCAAAACTAAATGCTTAAAAATGAATAAACAGCAGATTATTCTAGAAATGCTCATTCTTCAGAGGTATTTGTATGGATTAATCAGCTGTATAATTCATATTTTTTCTGTATTCTGTTACCAGGTTGTGCAGGTATCTCACTAACAGTGATCAGTGAGAATTTGGCTATGTTTTTAATCTGCTGCTCATCTGCAGGTAGTCTGTTGTTTCTTGCTGATCTGTTGACTTAATATCTGGAAGTGGCTTTCTCCTGTCCATATGGAGATTTTTCTTCTCCTGTATGAATCATACTCATGAGATAACATGAAGACAAATTCAAGTTTCGATCATATCATTATTGCAGTTGAACTACTTCTGTGACAAAAGCAAGTGGATGTCCCTGGTTATTCACACAAAATAGTTGTGTGATAACTTGAAAACAGTTCAGTGGTAACTCTGTGAGTGGAAGGCTCAAGTATTTGTTTCAAACTTTGGAAGGCTATCTTAGAAATTCTCATTACTGGACATAGGCCTAAATAACTCACCTTCCCCACACATTTATCTTCAGATGAGGCAGTGAAATATGATATGTGACAGCAATCACCATGACTGAAAGCTGATAGTACATCCAGGGCATTTCAATGTGCCTCAGTAGTGATTGTTCATGTGGAACATGTTTCAGGCTGCAGTCTTCGTTGTACCTGAGTGTCTCTTCCAGCTAGATCCTTATAGCAAAAAGTTAGTTCCTTTTTAACTATCAAATCATCAGTAATGGAAAAGCTAAAGGCATCCATAAAAAATCATTCTGATTTATTTTGATGTCCTGAGCACCTACCAACTGTGGATAAAATGAACTTTCTGGGAAATTCGCATTTTCATCCCGAGTCCCTCAGAAGGAAGGCACATACAGCAGGTATAAATATTGGTGCTAAAAAGTAGTTGTTGCTGGAGAGAGAACTCTTATAATTAGATTTTAATTAATTCTTATCTCAGTTAAAAGATAATTAGAAAGTAATTGTGTTGTTGTAAAGTATCCATTGTCTGATTTCTGATGTAAAATGTAGTTTTCGGAGGAATTTTGTGAGCCACAAGAATACGTCTGATTTATATCATGTGCTTGTTTGTTGGTGGGGGTGGCATCGTGGCTGATTAGATGTGTTTGGAATTCAAGAAAAAAAAATTATATTAAATACACTTTATCAAATAAACTAATATGGCTTGAGAAAATAGACAGGTTTTTGTGCCACATATGCCTTATTGCTTCTCTCAATTTCTTTTGATTTCTTTTGACAAACTGAAAAACCTGCTCATTTAACTGAACAATGTAGTGAATCAAGTGAAGGAAAAAGTTTCTGGTTTATGAGGGATGAATAGATTTCTCTTTATTCTTCTTGCCAGGGAGTTAATTACTACATTGGTACAGTTGCTCTTTAAGAGTTGTACTCCGAAAAGCAGTCTGCTACAAAACAGACTTTTTTTTTTTTTTTTTCATCTGAGAGAATAATAAGTTCTGTGTGAAAGATGAAAGTAGCAAGGAAATGTCTGCCTGAAAAAGTTTCTAGACTATATTGCTTTCAACATAAGATGGTAAATTCATTTGTTTCGGGTGCTTGAAGTGAAGTAAATTAAAGAATCCTGTGTGCAGGAGTGAAAATGCCATGACCCTGTAACTTGAGAGCAGTTATTCAGCAACCTGGGTGTTTCAAAATTGTAGTTTTGATTATGATACCACATGTTAGTGTTGGCTGAACACAGCTCTAACTACCTCCCAGTAGACATTCTGTGTTCTAAAATCTTATTCACTTCATCACATCCTGCAGTTGAACAGAACTCTGTAGAATCTGGGTCCTTCTGTAGACTACTAAAAGAGAAATTAGAGGATAGTCATTGAGGCTCAAATTTGACAATCTACATTCAAGTTCCTAGTCTTCACTTAGTATTTCCCAGCTCAGTTATTTTCAGCATGGATGTGTACAGTTTTATTTATTTCTGCAGAGTTGCATGAATTCCAGAGGTGAGTTTCTCCTGCGTATTGTCATCTCTTCAATCTTTTTTGTATGTTTAAGGGTAAGATTGCAGGCAGAATATCATGCTCAAATCAAGGGATAAGTATTCTCAAGAACAGATTTAAGTTTTTCCTTACTTTTTTATTGGCCATTTTTGGCAAACTCACTGAGATTTCAAGGACTCAGGAAACCTACTGATTCTTCCTAAGCCATTGGGAGCCCCTGGAGCATCTTTAGTATAAGGACCTTTAAGACTGGTCATTAAACACTGGGGAATATTAGACAACAATATACATGTTTGTTGTATTCTGAATTCCCTTTAATATAAAGTGACTTTGTGGTAGCTCTTTTTTGCCTTTTGAAGTAAAATACAGGGATAACGGGAGTAATTTTCTGTAGGAACTGTAACATTTCTCTGTAAGAAGACAGTAATAGCATCCTGTGTTCTCCCAAAAGGTGGTTATAATAGCCATCGGTCAAATCTTGCTTCTATTAAATCAAAGTTTTTGTTCAGTTTAGCTCAGGATTGCTTATACTTACATTCCCATCTCTTGAGACTTGAGCAGATGCCATTTCCTGTATTTTTTCACGTCTTGTACAGAAAATCTAAATTATAAAGGCCTATCACTTCTTTTGTTTTTCTTTCAATCTAATCAAGATTTTATGCTTCCTGCTTTTCACGTTACAGCTTTGACAGTCACGAGAAAACCCCATGCATTATTCCAGTGCACAAAACTCAATTTTCTCCTGTCTTGTACTGCTTCAATGACTCCTCTTAATTCCATTAAAAAAAAAAAAAAGAAAAAGAGAAGAAAAAGAACCTTCTGAAGCATCACATGAACACATACATTTCTTTGTCACTTGGTGTGACAACTGAATAGAGAAACACATACGCAGAGGCTTTATTTCAACTTGTTAATATATAAAGTCATTTAGTGCCATTAAAGTGGTATAAAACTATATTTGTTTCAGGTACTGCTAGTAAGCAAAAATTATTGCATTTCTAGTCACCCTTGCTTATTTGCCTTTAGGAAGAATATTTAAATATCAAATGAGTATTAAAAAAAATTCAGTGGAAAGTTTTCAAATAATAATGGTTTTGGTGAAAGAGAGAATATTGTAATTCCAATGGAAAACATTTGAATAACATGAGGAAGAACTGGAAGAGCATTTTAAAAGAACTGACTACTTATACTTTTAATGTAAAATGTGGATTAAATATTAGAATTTATATCCTAAATTAGTGTAGAAGACAAAATTATTTACTTCAGAAGTAAATATTTAAGCATTATCAAAATTGAAAATTCTTCTTGAGATTCAAAATGGATTTTTAAAAAAGTCTATACAATTTGCTTTTTGTTATGATTATTTTACTGTTGAATTTCTCATAAAAATTATATTTTTTAAGCAGTTATAATTGCATCTAGATCATCAAGACCAATTCAGACCTCTGACAAAGTTATCTAAATTACCATTTGTATTGTCTTTTAAAGAATATAGTGGAATTTTCATGCTCAGTTATTTATACATAGTATTTTGAAAAAATGTGAGGAAATACTTGCCTATATAAAACAAATGGAAATACCTCTTATAGTAGGGTTTTGAAAGTGAAATAAATGATTTCCCAGTGTCAGGGCCTTACCTGATATTACTAATTTCCTGTCTTGAAATCCTAAATGCAAAACTGGTCTGGTAATTTCTTTTTTTTAATTAGCATTTAAAATGTCTTTTTTTTTTTTTTTTTTTCCCCACACTTTGGAAAATGTAACATAGAATCATAATTGATGCTTATTTCATAAAGGACTGCAATTGAACATTAAGAATTGTGGCTGACTTGTGGAAGCATTCATTTCCTGGTATAATTATGGGGTAATCAAGCCTTGCCATAGCTTGGCAGTTCCACAGTAAAATAAAGCCCCAAGGTATAGACCATTGCAGTTTCCTTGCTGAGTGGCTTGCATAAGCTCTGCTGTTATTTCTTGGCCAGTATGAATCTCGAAGATTAGCAAATCTTAAAACAAGGGCTGGAATACACTTGCTGTGTTAATGAAGTCTCAAAATCCCAGTACGGAAAAACCTTTTGTTGCAGTGCTGATAAATCTCTTCATACAGTTCATTGCCTGCAAGGGGAGGAATACAGCTTAGGTGTATAGATAAAGTCAGAAGAATTAGTCTGTAAGAAAAACAAAGCAATTATGTCATTGTGCACTATAAGTATTATATTCAGTTTTGGTTTTGGAACGCAGTAGGGGAGAGAGCAGTGCTGTGTGTCTTCAGCTATTTAAATTTTCTATTTTCCTATATTAAATTTAGACTTCTCATATCAGGCCTACAGCATTATACCTAAGTATTTGTGTCATTGCTTTTGTAGGTTTACTAGAATATTAGCAGTGTTTTCATGTAATTTCATAACTAATTCATATCAAGTCTAGTATGACAGTAACATTAACTAAAATATTAATCTAATTTTATACTTCAGCCCATTTGGTCATCTAGTTTCACTTTCTTTGAAGTAAGAAGAAAGACTAAATGGATTAAAGCACAAGGGATATCAAGTTAGTGTTTCATCCATCCTATTCATAAAACCCATTTCACAGTCTTATGAGCCTGACTTCTGCCATTTTAGAATTAGTCTCTTTTACTTGGTAGATGATACAATGTGTGTGAAATAATGTAAAACATCACAAGGTGGATGAAAGATCAAACTGACAAGAAAAAGAAAAATTTCAAAAAATTCCTTCATTTGCACATAAAGTAAATCATACTTCCTCAATTTATCTTCTGTTTGAAGTTTTACACAGCTATCCTTTTGAAAAGGGAACATCTTTGGTTTAGATAGAAGAGGCAGTTCTTCAATCTTCTGTTCTTTCTCTTTATTATTTCTGTTTGTCCAGTACAGTCTTACCACTTTCATAGCTCTGTCTACCTCCAAAGGTTATTCAAACGTGAGTTCCCCTGTCTGCTACTCGGTTTTAACATTCCCACT